ACAATTAACTGATCCAGTTATTATTTCTCAAATTAATGATTTCAAATTAAAACTAGAATCAACTGTTTGTTCAACCTTACCCACTGCATTTTGGCATCGAAAAAAGCATGTAGTTACTTTACCATATATTAAGAATTTTAATGAACGACAAATACCTTCTAAATCTCGACCTATTCAAATGAATCATGAATTACTTGAAATGTGTAAAAAAGAAATTAATGAATTATTGCAAAATCGGATAATTAGTCCTAGTAAATCTCCATGGTCTTGTCCTGCTTTTTATGTTAATAAAAATGCTGAATTAGAACGAGGTGTCCCTCGCTTAGTTATTAACTACAGACCATTAAATACTGTTTTAGAATTGATTCGATATCCTATTCCTAATAAAAAAGATTTGATTAAAAGACTTAGTCAAGCTGTTATTTTTAGTAAATTTGATTTAAAAAGTGGTTTTTGGCAAATTCAAATTCATCCTAAAGATAGATACAAAACTGCTTTTAATACACCCTTTGGTCAATATGAATGGAATGTCATGCCCTTCGGATTAAAAAATGCCCCTAGTGAATTTCAAAATATTATGAATGACATATTCAACCCATTTAGTCATTTTTCTATTGTTTACATTGATGACATCCTGATTTTTTCTAACTCAATTCATGACCATTGGAAACATTTAACTGCATTCTTTTACACCATTAAAAGTCATGGTTTAGTTATATCTGCTCCTAAAATTAAATTGTTTCAAACTAAAGTGAGATTTTTAGGTTATGATATTCATCACAATACTATTCTCCCTATTAGTCGCTCTATTGAGTTTGCGTCTAAATTTCCTAATGAAATTCTTGATAAAACCCAATTACAAAGTTCTTAGGCTCCCTCAATTACATTGCTGAGTTCTACAAAGACCTTATGAAGACTTGTCAACCCCTGTTTGATGGGTTGAAAGATAATCCGCCTCCTTGGTCTTCTGTTCATACTGCTACTGTTAAACAAGTCAAACAATATGTTAAGTCTCTTCCTTGCCTTGGTATTCCTACTGAAAATTCATTCAAAATTATTCAAACTGATGCTTCTGATATTGATTATGGTGGCATTCTTCTCCAGAAAGTCACTCCTCAATCCTCGGAACAAATTGTTCGTTATCATTCTGGTGTCTGGAATAAAGCACAATTAAATTATAGTACTATTAAAAAAGAAATTTTGTCTACTGTTTTATGTATTCAAAAATTTCAAGATGACATTTTAAATCAAAATATTTTACTTCGTGTTGATTGCAAATCGGCTAAATATGTTTTAGAAAAAGATGTTCAAAATCTTGCTAGTAAGCAAATTTTTGCCCGTTGGCAATCTATTTTAAGAATTTTCGATTTTGATATCACTTATATACCTGGTTGTCAAAATTCCCTTCCTGATTTTCTTACTCGAGAATTTTTACATGAGAGTAAGGGATGACTGCTACTCCAAATATTGCCTATCTTAAAACCCAAATTACCCATTACCAAACCCTGATACACCAAGTTAACTTCCGAATTCATTGCCTCAAATTAGCTAGAAAAACTACTAAAAGAGCTCAATACATTAATTACTATCAGATTCAAGCTCGCCGCAATTTACTTACTGATTACATTAGTCATTTGAATTACTACCAGAATTATTTAGATCTTCTTTCTGGTTGTTAATCTCTGCTACTAATTACTGTTTCATTTCTACAGATGTCTCGCCCAAGGCCTCTTTCTAAGGCTTTGGTTCCATCTAATCAACCATTTGTTCCTCCTCCTTTGGAGTTAATAAATCAATATCCTCAACCCATTGAAATGATTAACCGTTACCAAGTCCTTGGTAACATTTATCGACCCAATTACTCATCTGCCTTGGCCTCGGACCCTTTTGCTTCTTCCAGCCAAGTAGTCTTAGTTACTCCATTCCCTGCTAACCGAATCAGGTCCTCTCGATCTGATTATACCAAATCACACACCACTAATTTGTTCTACAAAGAACCTAGTCACCCCAAAAGCCAAGTTATACATGAAACTGCTAGATCCCATTTTGGCTTTGGATGCCATTTCATCCTCTCACATCCAGAGAAAATACTCACCTATTACAAAGATATTTTGATCCATCACCAATCAGTTTTGATCAAACCTATCTATGATCGGACCTATGCTAATAAAGCTCTGTATCATTCTATATACATTCATAACATTGTTTCTTTAGCTGAATGGGGTCCTCCTTATCAGCTTCGTGATTTACCTGGTCACTCTATTCAATACAATTACCATCATTACGTTGATGCTTGGTTCAAGATCTTCTTTTACCAAATGAAACTTTTAGTTACTTCTGGTTCATTTCTTTTGATCAAAAATTCAAGTCAGAATTACCTTCCTGGTTTCTGAGATGGTGGATTCATTATGGTACTATTTCAGATATCCTTCCCGGTGATCTCATTGAACTAATTAATCATTTTGCTTCTGTTTATCCATTTACTGCTCATCAGAGATCATTTCCATCTTTGTTAATTTTTATATCCAAATATAAAATCCCTTGGATATTTAAATGACATTATGGACTTGATGATAAAATAGTTATCCGTCAACACTCAGTCAAATGGTGGGCTAAATTCAATGTGCCACGCATATTTGAAATTGTTCAAGAAGAATTTCCCATTGATCAATGTGCTCCTACCCCTGCCATTGCTAAAATCCAGCAAAACCCAACTGCTGCAATCAGCCAAGGAAGTCATCCCAGTCTTTCTCCAATCAACCTTGGAAGCCCCTCATCTAGTGGTTCCAAGCCCAATTCATCCAAGTCCAAGAATCCGCCCAAAACTAATAAATCAAAGTCCAAGGCTAAGTCTAAGGCTCCTGCAGTACCGACTCAGCCCATAACTCAATCAAAGCCCAAGTCAAAATCCAAATCCAAGGTTCAGTCAAAGCCCATTTCACCACCTGCTCAGCCCGAAGTCAAATCAAAAAGCAAATCCAAATTATCCAAAGATGAAGTGTTCCAGCTAGTTCAAAAAATCATGGATCAAGGCAAAACCCAGTCAACCAGTTCAGAAAATTCAGAAGACAGTTCAGACCGATCACAATCTTCTGAATGTTCAATTACTTAACCCATCTAATATGAAAGATCTGAGTTCCAAGATGCTCAAGATCCATATGCCTGATCAACATAAGATTCCCTATAAATACAAATTAGCTTCAATCAATACTCTTTTGAGAAAAGTTGCCAATTTGTATTTATATTAATTCCTTTATTCACATGATCCACCGAAAGTGATGAATAGTAAAAATTTCTGTTCACTTTTACTGTTCACCGTCACTATTCACTCGATCAACTTTTGTTAAAGTTGCTCAACTGTTCAATCAATCAAGCCGAAAGCAACCGACAACATCTGCTTTATCTCATGCGCTGCCAGCTGCCTTCACCAGCCACATGCTACTTTGCTTTTCTATATATTATAATCAATTGTAGTCATTCAGGCACTCTTCAATTTTTCATTCTCCAGTTTTGAGAAAAAACAGAGAGCTCTGAGTGAAAATTACCATTTCTCATTTGTAACCCAATTAAGATGTTTGCAGTTGCTACAATTGTAATTGTAAGTTATTTTTCTGTGTTTTAATTACAAAGTTTTATTAAATGATTTTGGTTCGTTTGTAACCCAATTAAGATCCTTGCTGTTGCTATAATTGTAATTGTAAGTTATTTTTCTGTATTTTAATTACAAAGTTTTATTAAAAGATTTTGGTTAATTAGTGCATTCCAATTCTGCTGGTTCAATTTGATTCATATTTGATTTCGTAATCCATGTTCTTCATCCACTTGCCGCTGCTTCCGCGTTTATTTTATGTATTTTAAAAAATAAATAAATATTTAAAATTTTAAAAATATTAACTAAAAATAAAAAAATTCAATTTGTATAAAATCAAACTCAAAATTGAAACCAAATACATTCATTAATTAGAGCATCTCTAATGGTGAACCAAATTTAAGTAAAAAAAATCAATTTTCTCAATCTGATATAGCTTGCTCCAACCGTGCATCAAAAGGGAAGGGTCAACTGGTAAGGGTAATTTTTTTTTTATACCTGTTTGAATCTTTTTGATCGGTTTGAACCTACCTATTTGAAAGGGAACTGGTTGACCGGTGGGTCAACCGGCCGGACAACCGATTGGCCCACCATAACGGCAACGCATAGTGAAATAATGAAATCTGCAGACAGTTTTCATTTTGATAAATTTTTTATTTTATTTTCATTTTGATACCAATCTGATAAAATCATTAAAACTTTAAAAAGTAATTTTCTTTTATCAAATTTTAAATCTGATACAAAATTTAATGAACCGCTAGAAATGGGCTTAGTATATTATTGGAGGTGGGATTTAGAAGATTTAGAAGGTTCCTCCTCTCTCCGTGTCTAATAAATATCTGCTGCCGATGCCATGGATGGATGGATGGATGGATGGATGGAGTAATAAGAAAGCAAACCGGGTCCAAGTCTAACACCAATAAAACCGTGTTTATTGGGTTGGGTTGCTGTTCTAGTTTGACTTTTTTTTTATCTCTCTGGTCTTCCTTCCTCTTTCGGCCAGTCATTCCCTTCCTTCCATCCTTCCTTCCCTGTTCTAGAGAGACAGCGAGAGAGAGAGAGGGTGGCGTGATGGCGGGCTGTCCTAGAGAAAGAGAGACGATAATATAATAGTTTTTGTTTTTTATTTGTTTGTTTACTGGCTCACCTCTCTTTTATTGTTTACCTTTCAAAGTCAAAAGCAGATTGAGAAGCCAAACCAACCCCCTCTCTCTCTCTCTCTATATATATATATATACATATACGTGTGTGTTTTGAATATTTTGATCGCATATACCCTCATCATCCTCTTCATTTTTGATCCATCTTTCTTGGGTGATTTTTTTGTGTAATCATCATCATCAGTAGTTGGGTTGGGTTGGGTTGGGTTGTGTCCGTCAAAGAAAGCTCTACTCCAATGAATTCAAATGCCCCGTCTTCAAGCTCTGGAGGAGGCGCTGCTGCTGCTGCTGGATCAACTGATTCTTCAGCACCCAGACGAAATTCCAAGCGACCCAAATGTTTGTTTCTCTTCCCACTCCCACCTCTACTTTGTTTTTGTTCATCTAGTGTTTCACTCGTCAATTGCCCCCACCCCACCCCACCCCACCCAGGTGTAGTCATGTAAACATTGGTAATGGGTGGGGGGCACAGCTTAGATCTAATTTATATAATCTTTTCTCTTTTTCTTTTTCTTTTTATAATTTTTTTGAGAGAGAGTCCTAAATCCTTAGGTATCCTGATAATCAATTACTGAACCGTTGGAATGGGTTTTCTTGATTGGTTTGCAATTTTTTTTGTTTTGTTTTGTTTTGTTTTGTTTTGATGCACATATGCTTGCAGATAATTGTTGAGATGTTTTTTTTGGCCGTTTCATCTGTGAGCTTTGATCATTGATTTATATTCTGTTGATCATGCTGATTTTAGGTTTTACCATCAAAGGTTGCTTTGCGTGTGTAAACTCCATGCAAAATTGGTAATTTTATTTCTACTTACCCGTATTTAACAAATTTGGGTTTTAAAATAAATACAACAACTAAAAATCTATTGACACAAACAGATTCTGTTAATTATGCGGTTACATAAAAGGAGAGCACCGAAACAAGTTCCCCCCTTTCCTTGATGCCGTGTCAATTTTTAATCTTATAAAAAAGCATCTAGTTTGTTAAAATGCTACCATATTTGCCTATTCACGACAAGGTACAATAGAAATTTCACCCTTCTCAAAACTGCATATACAATTGGGCCTGTGGCTTGGGTTAAGGTTACGGCTTCCAATTACAGAAAGCAAACAAATAAATAGATGGAAACAAGTTTGTGATTTGTATTAAACAAGCATAGATGGACTAGCAGGCTTCAGAAAGCAAAAAGGTTTTAAATTTGTTGACTTCTATGAATAGGAGAGACTGGTTGTTTGTTGGATGCCACTCCTGTTCGTCTGTGTTCCAGTAGAATGCATATGGTATCACCCTCGGAGACAGACAGACAGACAGACAGACAGAGTACTTATTTAAGTAAAGTCTATATGAATAACTTTAAAGGCGATTTTTTGAGACAGGAATTACAGGAATAGATTATTAAATTATGTTGGTGAGGGATTGCCTCAACATTCGCTTGGTGGATGATCATCCACTATGTCTGAGATTTTAGTTTTTTAATGTCCTTCTCATGACTTTTTTTTTTTGAATGATTCACTTGTCATATGCAATGACAACAATGACTGCATTAGTCAAGAAGATTGATCTTATTCAAGTTGAATTTGCTACAAGAACAACTAGAAGGGTAACATGGATTGCTGCAATGAGAATTGAGAAAATGGCCATTGATATTCGATAAGCGAATAAAGTGACATTACCCATTGGCAATTGTTGGTCCTTGTTAATTGAGGGTGCTGGGAGGGTTAAGCCTAGTTGCAAACCTTACCATTGATTTGATAGAGAATACGATCATAAAGAGAGATGATAAAGAAAAAAAGATTCATGAAAGCCCATTCCAAGTAATTGGATATGTGGGTTTATTTATGTGAGTTTTACATGTGATTGTATGAAAGTCAAATGAAAGCATAAATTGATTTGAGATAGCAAATAAATACTTACATAGCACGGGTGGTGGTGGAATGTTACCATATAACTTACATAGCATGGGTGTTATAAGGAAAGATAGAATAAGAAGTGAATGTCTTTTGGAAATTAGAAGTTGCATTGACTGAATATGATTTTAGTTGGTTTGGTTTTATGAAAATATAATCCAACTATGTTGGTGTGAATGAGATGACTGGATCCTGCGCTAAAAAAGATTCAAGAGGAAGGCCAAAAAGAATGTTGGTTGATGCTATGAGACATGATATGATGGCCTTGGTCTCAAGGAGGGTATAGCTTTAAATAGAGTTGAGTGGGATGAGTTATTTACTCAAGCAATCAAGTGACTGGGATTAAGCTTGATTAGTTGAACAAAATAAGTACTATTTGGTTATGCTTCGTCTTTTACAACTTCACCTATAGCATCTTTTGATACATGGTTTCCTATTTGTGATGTTTAGATTTTGTAGTGTGAATATTGATTTTCATCAACTCCTCAGTGATCTCTTTTTGCTGGAGTATATTTCATCTTATTTTAGTCATAAGTATGCTTACTTATGGATGCAAGTATACCGGTCCGGCACTAATGCACCAAATCCCATTACAATTCCACGTCAAAGTGTGATTAAGTGAGAGATATACTGGGATGTGTGACCTTGCTATCCACTTTGCTCTTTCAATCATTAGGTGCTTGAAGACACTTTTCCCGATTAATGGATATATGATGGAGTTATGTTTTGTACTCATTAATCTTTTCACCATTTTCTTATAGCACTTGTTTTAATTTAGGGGCTTTCTTTGTTAGTCATGTTTTATGAGGCATCATGAAATAATGGTTATTTTTTTTATATTTTCTTTTAATACATAATGAAATTTTAATGATTAAGAAAATTTCTGTCTTTATTTTTTGCTTTAGATTCGAAGTTTACTCAACAGGAACTTCCTGCTTGCAAACCAATTCTTACACCAAGATGGGTGAGTATTTTGTTTATTTATTTTGCAAATATTTGATGTTTACTTGGTTGTATTGTTAACATTATAGGCAGCATGCCTGTCTAAGACTTTTTCTTTGTTCTGTGCAGGTGATTTCAGCATTCATGCTTGTTAGCATTGTCTTTATTCCCATTGGAGTAGCCTCCTTGTTTGCTTCTCGGGATGTATGCTCAAGACTGATTTTGCTCTAAGAATTTTTTTTTTCTTCCAATTTTCTTTCTTATATCATTGATTATGAGGTCTTTTTCTTTGCATTAGGTGGTTGAAATTATTTATCGTTATGAAACTGACTGCATACCAGTAGCCAATAGAAGTGATACGGTCAAATACATTCAAAGCTCTGAGGATAAAACTTGCAACAGAACGTTAACGGTATAATTTCTCCGCATCATTCATCATTATTATTATTGTTATTAGGAAAAAATCCATTTTACGCATGTGGTATGGCCCTGGAGCACTTGGCCCATTTGTCTGTTGAAAATACTCCAATACTCCCCACATAGCTGGTAGTCATTGTGGGGGAGGCGGCTGGGAGATTATTGGGAGTGCTAGGATGGTAGGGGAGGTGGTTGTGTAAGTTTTTGGTAAAGAAGATGGTCATGGTTAGAGTTTTTGGTAGGGGAGGTGGTTGTGTAAGTTTTTGGGAAAGAAGATGGTCATGGTTAGAGGTTTTGGTTTTTGGAGAAGAAGATGAAGATAAGGGTATATTATATATATTTATCAACCAAAAAAAAATAAAAAATGAAGATAAGGTTATTTATGGGTGTGTTTGGTTTGTGTTTGTAGAGTAGTTTTTGAGATAAAAAAGTACAAAAACTTGTTTGGTTTTCCTTTTTTTAAATATTCTCTCTAAAATAACTTGGATTTTTATTGTAGAGTAGTTTTTGAGATACAAAGTACAAAAACTTGTTTGGTTTGTCTTTTTCTAAATATTCTCTCTAAAATAACTTTGGTTTTTTTTGTAGAGTAGTTTTTTGAGATAAAAAAGTATAAAAACTTTTTTGGTTTGCCTTTTTTAGAATAGTTTTTGAGATAAAAAGTACAAAAATTTGTTTGGTTTGCCTTTTTGTAGAGTAATTTTTGAGATAAAATTATAAAAACTTGTTTGGTTTGCCTTTTTTGCAAACATGTTTAAAAGGTAATCCTGGAAATTGGATAACCAAACACATTTCTGAAAGTTTTTTTGAGAAAATTTGTTTGGTTTGATTACTCTTAAAAAAGTGTTTGTAGAGTATATTTCCAAAAAATTTCTCCCAGAATCAAACTAAACAAGGCCGACATGATTCAAATATCAGGTTTCTAATACAAGTATAAAGCATGAATTTTAGTGTTGTGGTTTTGCAATTGATAAATTTATCTTCACCTTTTTTTTTTTTTTTCCCCAAATGTGTCAGGTACCGAAGCATATGAAGCAACCTATTTATGTGTATTATCAGCTTGACAACTTCTACCAGAATCATCGCAGGTATCTATAACTCATCCTTGCCATTTCGAACAATTTATTTTATTCTATCTTGGATGACAGTGGTTATATGATCAGATTGTTATATGTTGCTGAAAGTATACATTTCTAATTTCTCTCCCACCTTCTGGGACAATACTGGACCTCCGAACACTCTGCTGACTTTTGTTGTCTGTGTGTGTGTGTGTGTGTGCATACTACAAAGTTTGATCCTGGTGAATCTTCTTTTCATAGTAAACTGATGAGGGGATGCAGAGCAATAGGTCAAATTACTCTATGTGGTATTGCTATTTATGGGAAGAAACTAGGATAGTGGTTGTCTTATTTGGTTGATAGTTTTAGCTATAGCTGTACTACTGGAAAGCAAATCTGGGGATTGGTTTTAGGAAAACTATCATAACACTTGTTTTTGTATCACAAAAATATTTGCCTTTTTTGTTTTCACAAAACTTTTGCAGGAAAGTAAATTTGGCAATTAGTTTTGATTTTCTCCAATTAAACTTGCTTTTGGAGCATGAGAAATGCTATTGTTTGTTCACACAATATTTTGAATTAATATCATGTCGTGAATCGCAACTCTTACAAAAACATGATCAATATGCCAAAAGGCCAAGGTCTAATGGAATGCGTGCCACATTAGCAGTTTTAGTATGTGGTTTATCCATGAGGATCGACCCTTTTTTCCTTTATTTTCGTTATTTCCCAAACAAGATGAAGCGTTCTTGTTTTATGGCTAAAACATTAGGGATATTTGGTTTTTGATTTGATGAGAACCTGAAGCAAATTTTGTATTTGATTATTTTTTTGGCTTCATGTAATAATCTCATTTTTCAGGTATGTGAAGAGCCGGAGTGATCAACAGTTGAAATCTGGCAAGGATGGCGATGTTGAAAGCACATGTCAACCTGAAGCTTCAGCGAATAACATGACGATTGTGCCTTGCGGTCTTATAGCTTGGAGTTTGTTCAATGATACTTACAGCTTTTCTGTCAACAGCAGCCAGCAATTGACAGTAAACAAGACGGATATCTCATGGAAGAGTGATAGGGAACACAAGTTTGGAAAAGATGTCTTCCCTAAAAATTTTCAAAGTGGAGTTGTTAGAGGGGGTGCAAATCTTAGTTTGTCCAAACCAGTAAGGCTTTTTTACCAGAAAACATCTATTATAAAGCATAGGATGATACAAAACTGGCCTTGATAATAATGCCATTCTTGTTTGCTTTCCTCTTTTGTTTTGTTTTGTTTTGTTTTGTCTTTTTCCTTTTCCTTTTCTTTTTCTTGTTATATTATCAATTAAGGTTGTTTTCCATTTTATTTGTTTTTCTAATTACTATGATGTTGTGGTGACAGTTGAGTGAGCAGGAGGACCTCATTGTATGGATGAGAACTGCAGCGCTTCCGACATTTAGAAAGTTGTACGGGAGGATAGAGGTGGATCTACAGGAAAACGATGTGATTCAGGTGACATTGCAGAACAATTACAACACCTATAGTTTTAATGGAAAGAAGAAGCTTGTTCTTTCTACAACTACCTGGCTTGGTGGAAAGAATGACTTTCTTGGCATTGCATACCTCACTGTTGGCGGCTTGTGCTTCTTTCTGGCTATGGCTTTCACCGTTGTATATCTAGTTAAGCCAAGGTATATATATTCTTTTCACCCACCTCGGTCACCCAAAATTTTCTCTCGTCACACTACTACTTCTACTAGTAAATTTATGTTGCAATGCATGTTTATTTTATGTTTCAAAATACCTCTGGAAGAAGCATCATATTGTGCTTCACATCCTTCTCACCGGTCAAATGACAATATTGAAACTAATTTTGTTCACACTCTCTCTCTCTCTCTCTCTCTCACAGGCGACTTGGAGATCCATCATATTTGTCATGGAACCGAAACCCAGGAGGTCACTGAGCAAGCTTGTGACACATTTTGAAGGGGGCTTTGCTTTGCTTTGCTTTGCTTTGGCTTTGCTTGGTACACTCATCATTAGTGGATGACGCTTTATGTGACAATGTGAAAATGAAACTGTGAAGTGATGATATTACTACATATATATATATATATATATATATGTATGAGACGTCAGTTTGAAGCATTGTTGTGTAGTTGTTGTATGGAATTTTGAATCTTGTGGCATTGGTTATGTATTATAAAATTTTATGTATAATTTTACAAATATAATATAATACAAGTTCTTGTTTTTATTTTAATTTATTTATTTTTGATAACCGGATGTCTAGGCCAATTTATATGCTTCTCAATTAATCTCACCACTCACTTACGAAATCCTGTATGGGCTGGTCCCATGAGACCTAAAGGGAGTCCCAAATTATTGCCCCAAGTTGTTTATTTATTTTCGGTGGTTAATGTTCCCCAAAGTCCCGACACCATAGGCTTAGCTTCCTCCCCTCGCATCCCTGCTCTGGCCCTGGCTCTGGTCCAAAAGTCCTAGAATGACAGCCAATTTGGTGGTTTGAAATGTGTACCCTTGCGTTCCATGCCATCATCTCCCTGGGAAGAAGTAAAAGAAATAGGGTAATACTAGAATACTAAACAAATGATCAAATGTCTCACATAGGTGTGAGATTTGTAATTTTGTGAACCCTAAGTCATTTATTTGATAAAAAATTTGTAACTTACAACATTTTCTAACGAAATATATCATCACGGCTCGTCATGACGTATTATAGTGGTAATCAATAATAGTTAGCAGTGATTGACATTTTTTTTTGATTACTAATACTTTGTTTTTTGATACTATATTTTTATATGATTTTTTTTAAAGAATAAATTATAAACACACCTTTTAAAATTTGCTTAAAACAAAAATTACCTCATGTAATTCTAAAAATTACATTTCTTCTTTTGAAATTTTTAATTTTATAACAAATGACCATTTTTATTAATAAATTATCAAATCAATTAACAATTTTTAATGATATTAAAACTTATTTTAATTAATAATTCAAATAATTTTATTATTGTATAAGAGAGAAATTAAAATTTTTATTTTTTCAAATAATTCTATTAAAAAAAAACTCTTGATAATAGAATATTTATAATTTTTCAAATTACATAGACAACCCGTATTTTAAGATTAAGAGTATATTTATAATTAATCTTTTTTCTAAGTTGTAATTTGTATTCTAAATTTGAAGTTTCGTTATCGATTGCATTACACATTTTTTATTATCCCCTTTACGCTGTGATTTGGGTACGGATACATATTGTGCCTACTTTTTTTTCTTTTCTTTTTTAAATGCCTACTCAATTCCTTGATCCAAAACATAACCCTAATGGAAAATGACATCACTTGTGCTAAACATATGTGATATATATATATATATATATAAAATTTTTCTCTTCTATTTTTTTTTTTCTTTTTTCTTATCCTCGTAATGTGGGAGAAGGTATTCACAATTTTTCAATGCCTACAACAACAATGGGGAAATGGCCACAAGTCCACAATTGGGTGCCCAATTCGACTAGGTCCACCATGAGTAGGACTCAGGCCATAGCACTAATTGTTTTGCCGAATGCAGCCTCTGTCTGGTCCTTTGCTCATCTTCATCTGAACAGAGTTCGTGCTCAAGGAACAAGATTGGTACCAACTGGTTCCATGGTTAGCCAGATGACCGGCCTAGAGGTGAATTGAGTTTCACAGCACTCTAAGCAAGATATTGGAAAGGTAAGCTCCCTCTGGATATGACGGATCAATAGGATGATCATAAGCCGCTCCAGCCTGACGTATAACTGTGATTTTCCTCCCCGCAATGGATGCAGCAGCCTGGAGAATGTATATATAACAAATAAAAAATATACTTAAAAGTTTAGTTCATATATGATTCTGTAGCAAACTACTTGCCTGAAGTGTTTGCAAGAACGTCCCGCTTTGGGTCATAGCTCCAGAACATGAGCATGTCATAAGAAGACCACCCCTTTTTGTTAATTGCATCGCCAATGAGTTTAAATTTCTGTACATGCCAGATGCACTTTGTAGAACCTGGATTAGATGCTAACCAGTTAAGCAACAGCCAGCAATAATAATAATTAATTAATTTAAAATAATAAAAAATAAAGAATAAAAAAGAGAGAGGAGAGAGACCCATTTCCATCCCACCAAGCACTAATTTTCTTGACAATTAGGAATGTTAAAAAAGTTATCTTAGACGTTGTGAAACATAATATGAACTCATTTGAAACCTTATGCAAAATTAAACATATCCAGATAAGCTCCAGGTTGTGTTTGGATTATGGATTTGGAAAGGAAAATGAAAATGTAAGTGAAATATGAATGAAATATAGTTACATTTCACCAACCTTTTCCCTTTCACTTTTCAAATCTCTACCCAAATCCATGATCCAAACACAGCACTAGTAAATTTATTTTTCTTGAAAAGTATTCACATTATAAAGTAGTGTCTTCATACATTCCAAACATAAAAAAGCCTCTAGAAAATACATGCATCTGCACCAAGGTTGGCTCAGTGGCAACTGGATTTAAGTGTGACTGAAAATACATAAAAATATGAACGAACCCAATACACTCATAATGTGAACACTTTATCATTCATATAGACAAACAATATAATTCCTACTGATCAGCCAAAAAGCCAAGCTGGCACATGTCAGTTCCATGAAACCAACATAAAAAACCCAGCCCAAATGATCTAAAATCTGGTTGGATAGGTCAGTCTTAGCTTAAATATACACAGGCTCCATTACTTCTTTGTATTAAATACCTTCTTTATTTTTCCTTTTTTTGGTACGTATGTTTTTATTGAACAGCTCTTCATATACATATTACCTTTCTTCGAGGTGCTAGTTTAGGGGGATCCATGATAATGATGTCCCATGTTTCATTCCTAGAAAGAGCGTCCTTCATAAAATCAGTAGCATCACATCTCAAAACTGATATTTTCCCTGGATCCAAGTTGTTAAGTGCAATATTTTCATTGGCAAGCTCCAAAGCAGGCAATGATGAATCAACACCTGTCAAAAATGAAGAGATAAAGATCAAACCTATTTAGACTTGAATATACCCCCAATGTTGCAAGAACAGGTTAACATGAAAGAAGAATAAGTTCTAATCCGCATGCAGTATCAAGTTTCAATGCCGTTGAGCCAAAACGGAGATGGAGGTGAAAATGATATGAAGCCTTGGGTGAAAAAAAAACAGAAAAAAAGAAAAAGAAAAGTGAACCTGCACCTCCCCTTGGGAGGGTGACAAGAGAAACCACTCAAGCTGACAACTGGTGGTATCTAATGTAAAGACTTCTCTGTGGACTGCCAGTGGCTTTTAACATTTCTCGTAAGGTATATGTAAAGACTTTTCTGTGAACCTCCAGTGGCTTTACAAAGGATTGAATCAGGGTGAAATGCTTAGAGACTCTAAGCTGTAACATCATCCACGGACTTGCATAGATGCTGTAACTTGTAGAGATTTCACACAAAACTCAATTTATATTTAAGTTGCAAAGAGAAAGTTACAATAAAAGCTATGAGGTATCAGTCTTCCTGCTTTCTACTACGCATCTCTGATACTTGGATGCCACTTGCAATATGATGAGCAGACAACGAAAAGGGCGTAAATTAGAATTATTCCATTAACAAATTTTCCCATTCAATATCTTTAATTTGAAAGATTTTGGGTAAAATTTCATTGGCTTGAATCTTAATTAGTATAAGTTGCAAACTTATATTATAGTTTCAACTCAGTTGATCTCATAGCTTTTACTATTTGGTCCACATCCACTGAACTTTTTCTGGATATAATTTCAATTGAGGAAGATGACCAATAAGATTAAACATCAAAGAATCACTGATGAGAAAGATGACCAATGAAGTGAGGAATTTATACCAGTGACATTCATAGCACCACCACGTGATGCATTCAGAGCAAAACCACCACTATAGCAGTACATATCAAGAACTTTCTGGCCATCTGAAATTGTAGAAATGAACTGACGGTTTTCACGCTGATCAGCATAAAATCCTGTCTTCTGGCCCTCCAATGAAATTAAATAAGAAATACCATTTTCCATAACCTGTCACAAAGAAATTACAAGGTGTAGCAAAATGCAATATATAAAGCCTTCAGTGGAATTTTCATAATCAATTCGAGGGAAGAAAAATAAAATATATATAGTGAGTGACTGAATTATTAACTCCTGAATAAGCACTTACAATTTAAAATATTTCCAAACAAACATTTTCATTGCATGAATTATGGATGTAAATCACAAAACAAAGAGGACAGAACCTCCATGAAGAATTTAGTCCCTCAAAGTTTAGTAGGCTTCAATCTCCATACAGGGCTAATTGACTTCAATGAATTATTTATTTAGGATATTTCATTACAAGAATGCATGAAAGAAGAAAATCGTAGTTCAATTAGCGCTCTTCAAAATAACAAGAACGGAGAGAAAGCGAAGCTCTTTCAATTGTATATTTCAGTAACAGCGAGAAAGCAATCTCCTCTTACTTGACGGGGCTTCTCATCACTGAATATAGTTAAATGATACAGTAGTATATTTCAGTAATGACCATGCAAAGAAAGCAGTTATAAGAAGTGAACATGGGTGTGAGCTTGCATCACCAGAATTTTGGACATAGGCAAAATTGTGTCAAGATCTATTTACCTTTACCCTTTCAAGAGGACTAGGTGGATATATTTCCTTGGAATCTGATATATACAATCCTTCTTCTTTTAAGATCTCAATAGATGGTCTCCAGCTTATATAATTGATTCCATCTAATCCACTAATGCAAGCTTTTATCTGTGGTTTGTACTTCTCCACCCAAGCTGCAGATGATGCTATTACAGCTAAATCTCCGAAGATATCAATAATAAGGCCTGACAACCTGTAACACAAGAACCAGTTACGGAAATTAAACAACTAGATTGTACAAGGTAAGCATAAAAAAAAGATAAAGGAATCAAGTATGAAAAAACATAAGTGCACCAACAAATGTTCTCTTCCTTTCCTCTCACAAAACTTGAAATAATGTATGTACAGGATTTGAATATCAAGTTTGCTATATTGGTACTTTCTTTCTCCATATGCGGCTGTGACAAAGTGTAATGCCAAAACATAGTTTGTGTACCCAGTGCTATCTAGTTGGCAAAGGTTTTGTTTTGCTAGAAATTCAATATGATAAATGGAGCATCTATTGAACCTATTATACAACTACTATTTAGCAGGGGCATATGCCATATGATTAGATATACAATAATACAACACAAAAATCAGTAAGTTGCAAGTCTAACTTACTCAACATTACTATTTCAATAACTCCACCTGTATCAAGTTCAAGATGGATAAAAATAAGAGGTAAGATAGAGTTACCTAATTTTTGTATCCCTAGCATTGTTGTAAACATAATATCGACAAACTTGTTAAGTTGAGAGAAAGATAAACAAAAAACTTTGATCAAGTTAAGTGCATAGAAAGTGAAGATTTACCAGTGTTAGTGAAGGATGAGGAAATTAAGGAAAGGTGAAAAAGTTAATTTGAGAAAGTATAAAAAAATTATAAACATTTAGAAAGTTTAATTGGAGAGAAATATGGGAGCACTAAAGAACTAAAGAAAAATATGGGAGCCTTGATGGAACCAAAAAACACAAATTTTATCGTAGAATAAGGAAATTTGATGAAGAAACTGCAGAGTTTGTACTAAAGATGATGAAATCAAATAAGACTTTAGAACTAGATGGTATCCCTATTGAGGCTTTGAAAAACTTAGGAGAAGAGGGGGTGTTCACAATATTAATTAATAAGATTATAATAACAAGGCAAATGTCTGATGATTGACAAAACAAAAAGTATTTTAGTACCTCTATATAAAAATAACGGAGATAGAGTTATTTTAGTATTTTAGTACCTCTATTATATAGGAGATATTCAAATTTCAACAACTATAGAGGTATTAAATTAATGAGTTATACAATGAAATTGTACGAGAGAGTAGTTGAGCATAGCTTGAGGGTTGCAACAACATTGACAAATAATCAATTTGAATTTAGGGAAAATTCCCAATATATCATACTTTTCCCGTGAAATTTTCATTAATTCTTATCAACACAAAATTAACCCTAATAGGACTCAATTGAAATGTCATGAGATAAAGCGAGTCACAGATAGTTGTTGCATTTGGATTATTATTTATTTATTCATTTATTGTTGTAGTGGTTAACGAAAAAAATAAAGTGGGTGGAATTTGTTTATAAAAATATTGTATTCTAGCAATACAATGGCTCAAAAGAAATATTTTATGTTACTATAACAGATACTATGGTTATTATGCCATTTAGGAATTGGCATGATGGTTGATAACAAGTTGTGTGTTATTTAATTTTTCGATCATTATGTACCTGATCCCAATACTACTACAACTTGAGATTTGTTTGGAGTAGAATTTGTGACCTCAAAGCATGGACGGATATCTAATGTGCTGCTATGTGAGTCATGGGTCAACCATATCTATTTGTACGAGGTTACTTCAGCAATTCCACTTGATTTCCATTGATAAATAAAATATACTTAATTGGTATTGTGTTAAAGCAGAGATATCATTAAGAGATTTTTTTTGAATTTTTACTTTTCTTTAGTCTAACAATGAAAAATTCCTATTGGGTTGATTTGTGCAACTTGGACTTCTTATAATTTCTTAACATTCTACTATAATATTTTGATATTCTCTATTGTTTCACCACACTACGAAACTACAATATGTAGATTTTATTGAAGTAGTACATGGCATGGTTAGAAGATGGGATCAATATTGTGTGCCCAAATGAATATTGGGTAACTTTTTAACATAGTTTAATTGTTTTCTTTTCTAGATTTATTGTTTCACCCAAGTTTTAAAAAGCGGTTGCAACCGTTACGTAACGTCGTTACGTAACGGTTGTGGTGGTTACCGCTACCCGTTACAGCCGCTTTTGCAGTGTGATTGAGATTCACAGGTGTGTCGGCCGTAGCGGCTGTCGTAACGGTGCCGTAACAGCCTGTTACGCACCGTTACGTAACGGTTCCGAACTGTTTCTTTCGAAAAAACACAAAAAAAAAAAGAAGCTAAAAATGGGGGAAGAGGGATAGAGAGAAGAGGGAAAATAAAGAGAGAATATGGAGGAGCAAGAGATAGAGAGAAAGAGGAGGGAAGATGAACATGTTATTGATTTGTTGAAACTGTAAGACCTATGCTATTCTATTCAGCTGCTATTACTCAACCATTTTGTTCGTGCGTGTCTATTTATATATTGTTTGAAAATAATAATAATGATAATAAGTGTGGTAATTATCTATTTGACTTGGTTAAAATATGTATATATATATATATATATATTTAGACTCTTATTTATTCTTTTCTTTTGTCATTATTTATTTTATATATAATAGTTAATGATTGATTTTTTTGTATAATATAAAATCATTAATTATTAAAATAAAATATAAAAAACTCAATTTATAGTGATTTAAAAATATAAAATATATTAGATCATACTTAAAAATTTACAAAAATTGATCAATATTTATTTTAAACCCAATAAATATGATCATAGAAAAAAAATATACGTATCGGTAAGTTTTTTTTTTAAATTGTGCGAAAAATAAAAAAATTCACGGTTCCGGTTACCACAACCGTTACACCGCGGCCTTTACACCCCGCAACCGCAACCGCAACCGCAACCACGCCACAGCCACCATTACGATGACCGCAACCGCTTTTTAAAACCTTGGTTTCACCACACCACCAAACTACAATACGTAGATTTTTTACTTTTTTCTTTAATTCCTATGGCCTGAAATTTGTATTTACAATTATTTCTCCCTATAGAGTATACAAATCCTGTGAATAACATGGGTTACTACCAAGGTTTTAAAAAGCGGCCGCAACCGTTACGTAACGCCGTTACGTAACGGTTTTGGTGGTTACCGCCACCCGTTACGGCCGCTTTTGCAGTGTGATTGAGATTCACAGGTGTGCCGGTCGTAGCGACTGCCGTAGCGGTCGTAACGGTGCCGTAACAGCCGTAACGGCCTGTTACGCACCGTTACGTAACGGTTTCAAACTGTTTCTTTCGAAAAAACAGACAAAAAAAAGTTGAAAATTGGGGAAGAGGGATAGAGAGAAGAGGGAAGATAAAGAGAGAAAATGGAGGAGCAAGAGATAGAGAGAGAGAAAAGAGAAGATGAAGAACATGTTATTGATTTGTTGAAACTGTAAGACCTATGCTATTCTATTAAGCTGCTATCACTAAATCATTTTGTTTGTGCGTGTCTATCTATATATTGTTTGAAAATAATAATAATAATAAGTGTGGTTATTATCTATTTGGTTTGGTTAAAATATGTATATATATATTTAGGCTCTTATTTATTCTCTTACTTTTGTCATTGTTTATCTTATATATAATAGTTAGTGATTGATTTTTTGTATAATATAAAGTCATTAATTATTAAAATAAAATGTAAAAAAATCAGTTTATAAAAATATGAAATGTATTGAATCATACTTAAAAATTTACAAAAATTGATCAATATTTATTTTTAACCCAACAAATATGATCATGGAAAAAAAATATGCGTATCGGTAAGTTTTTTTCAAATTGTGCGAAAAATAAAAAAATTCACGGTTCCGGTTACTGCAACCGTTACACTACGGCCTTTACACCCCGCAACCGCAACCGCGTCACCGCCACCGTTACGGCGACCGCAACCGCTTTTCAGAACCTTGGTTACTACTAGTACCAACATAATTGAAAGGAAAATTTCATAAAACAATTATAAGGCTAGTGATGCTTTACGAAACAAAATGTTGAGCAACTAAAAAACAACACATTACTAAAATAGTTAATGAGATGAGAATGCTAAGATGGATATGTGGTAAGACCAAGAAAGATTGCATTAAAAATAAATATATTCATGAAATGGTAGAAGTAGTACGAATTGAAGATGAGTTGACATTGTAACAGACTAATATAGATTGGTCAAGTATAAGAAAGACCGGTAGAGGCAACAACAAGGAAGAGTGATATGATACTGTTAATGGAAATGTTAAGGAGAGTACAAGACCTAAATTGACATTGGATGTTGTAGTAAAAAATGATACTAAATTATTTTCTAAGCATATAGCCCTTGACAAAAGTAAATGGTGAAAATGATTCATGTAGTAGACCCAAATTGACTGGGACAAAAGGCTTTGGTTCAATTTAGTTTGGTTTGGTTTGTCTGGTATTAAGTTCAATATCTAATCTTTTTTGCCAAAAATTCCAAGCTAATTTGAAAGGAAGAGGTTGCATTAGCTAGATCTCCGGTTTTAATAACATGAATTCTAGGACACCACATCCCACTTTGAGTTATAGATGCAACCAAAACAAAGCTGAATGACAGACAAATAATTTGTACAGTCCTCCCTAACAATCAGAATAGATACAGCCTTTTTTAGTTCATAGTAGAATTTATAAAGCTTTGAACTCCTTAAAAAAAACACAAATTATTAGTAGTCCTGTATGTTCAACTTCCTAGTGATGACCGGATAATTTGAGGGAAAAAATCAAATAAATTCTTCAAACTGAAAAAACCAGAGAAAAAAAATACATGAATAGGAAGCCGGATATCCAACTAGTCACTTATGTAATTTTCAAGCAAGAAAACTAACAGAAAGGTAAATAAATATGTATAATAGTTTCTTGTATGTATGTTACGCTAGTAAAGAAGCTAATAAAAAAACTTCAAAAGATTCCTTAATCTCACAATGTCTCAAAGACAATGGAGATTTTTCGAGTCAGAAATATATATTCAGCAAGGAGTATTGATAAATGAACAAGAAATGTACCTATCTCCTTCACTGTTAACAAGACGATATGCATTTGTATTGGCAGAGGGGAGACCCAAACTCCTACGCAACTGAATTGCTGCGTGAATTCTCGTTTCAAGCAGTTTCTCGATGTTCAATGCACAAGAAGGATCTCTGTATCAGCAATTTTAAAGTAATAACTTAATTAGCCTTAACACCACACATGCCTCTAGTTGAGAGCTTCTCTCTATAGAGCTTCCCATGGTAACCAACCATGGTGACGAAGGCATGATTTCTTACATATCTATTGGCTTTAAAGTATCCCATCCCACCCCAACCCATGTTCTTCATTGATAAATTTGTTCGTGTTTTCATCCCCTGTTGTTCGTTGTGTTATGTTAAAATCCACCTACTTCACCCACTTAAACCTACTCCACTAAACCTAACCCACTACACCACTACCACCTCACCTACTCCACTAAACCTAACCCACTACACCACTACCACTTCCACTTCACCTACTGCTTACCTACTACACACTCACCCTCTTCTATATATAGGAATCATGAATAATTGTAATAGATATCAATATAACATTATATCAATCAATAATATAATTCTCTCTATTTCTCTATACATCAAATTTAACATGGTATCAGAGCTATAAGATTTAGGCCTATACTCCTTTCTTTCCGGCGGGCAGCCGGCCGGCAACCTTGCCTTCGCTGCCCGCTGGAATTTTTCAACACATACCACAAACACATACCAGAAACTCTTCTTTCTTTGTTTCCTCATCTTCAACCTCTTTTTCTTCATTCATATACTATTCCATCGTTTGCCATGGACAAAGAGTACTTTCTCAGTGCTGGTGTGCACTTCGAACCATCGCCGGTGCAAAACTGGCAGTCTCTGTTTTCATCCCAGGAGATGAATTGCTCGCCGGAGCAATCTTTGGATTGTTTCCTCAATCCCACATGGGATAAGTCAACGGACCAGTACGCGAACTTCGAGTCTGCCCTGAGCTCAAAGGTCTCATCTCCCGCGGCTTCCAATTCGGCAGTGTCCAACGACAGCTTCGAAATCCCTGAACTGATCGGAAAACTGGCCACTATTTGCAACTCCGGCGAGATCTCCCCGCAGTCCCTGCAGTCTCCTCCTTCCATCGTTGTCAATCTCAATTATCACCGCCCATTCTTCATCCCTCAAACACGTCTCTCCTACAGTAGTCCAGCAATGGAAAAGAAAATGGAAAACCGAGAAACCAAAACCATCTCAGAAGAAGAACCCACAACGGCCCATGCCATCGCCGATTCATCACCCGCTTGATCTCCCAGTCCCAGTCCCAGTCCTAGTCCTCCTCGGGACCCCAAACCATCGTTGCCGTCGGCTCGATCGCCGGCCGAATCATCGGTATCGTCAGATCTGCGTCATCGGACGTCTCTCAGCCATGGATCCTCCCCTAGGGAAAACCACCGAAAAACGTGAAATCTCCGTCGTTGCAGCCGGTGGTGAACAGATTTGTGAGGGAAAGCTGCGTTAGGGTTAAGAATCTGGGGATTAGTTTTCTGCTTGCTTTCGTTCGCAGTGATGGCCTCAGACAAGAATAAAGGTTGGGCTCTCGATTCCTTCTACCGATACAAAGAGGCCATACACACACCTATTTTAAGCGCCATCTATCCACACCTCATTATTACGCATCCCACTATCCTTTTTCTTTATTTTATTTTATCTTTCTTCTTTAAAAAAAAAAAAAAAAACGATTCATCCCTCACTTTCTTTAAACTCTTTCCGGGCTTGTCTCCTCTCTCTCTCCTTCGTTTGATTTCAAAATTCATTATTTTTATTTATTTTCTCCAAATCACTTTCCTTATTTCCCCATCTTTCATTTTGATTTCACATATATTTTTTATTATTTCTTTCTTTATTTTTCTTTCACATTATTTTTTACTCTTTTTCAACTTCCATTCATACCATCTAGCTTTGCACATCAAACCATCTTTTATTCCTCTCAGGGATCAACCCCGATCACAATTTTACACAAAAAAAAAAAAAAAACTCAAAAACAAAAAAAAAAACCAACAAACCAAACCACAACACCAAACGCTTTGTTTTCTTTTCTGCAGACGGTCACCCACCGACCTCAATTCTTCGCCTATTCCGCCGGTCTTTTCTTCTTGCCTCTATCCTGGGCGGCCCTTGACGGTGTTGCCTCCGTGCTTCCTAGACCACCAAGCAAGTTTCCTCCTCCCTGCTCCTCCACTACAGCATATGGTGGACCTCCAAATCGGAACATCACGGTGGCCTTCCGCTTCAGCTCCTTGTTTTCTGACTTTAGCACACTTATCTCTACTCGCGCATCCTTATACATGCGTTGGAGCAGAGCCAGCTGGGAGTTTAAATGCTGCACCTCATTTGTCCTACTCTGCAGCCGGTTCGACAAATTTGTGACCGCCGTCATGCTTTCCACACATGCCTTCAGAGTATACTGATTGGCCTCCACATCTGACAGCACTGCCATTCTTTGCTCCACAGACCGCATCGGAAAGTTCAACGGAGCAAAACCAGAGGTGTTTGGTTGAGGTTCACTGGCCACCGCACCAGTTCTCTCTCCTGTTGACTCGTTGATGGGGCTAAGAAACTGGTTATTGTGAATAAATAAAAGTAGCAGTACAGTACCAATACAATGACATGTATTGATGTAATGGCAGGCATTTTGAACTTACAAAGCATTCCGAGTAGATCTGCTGAACAAATCCGTCTCTTAATTTGTTGTTGAATAGCTTCAAAGTGCCTAAGAAACAAATGTCAATGACATGTCATGAGCAAAATGCATTTTTTCTTCTTTAAAAGATCATCCAAGAAAAAGTACATCATAAATGCTAGCAATTTTTTTTAAAAATTTGATGAAAAATAAAGTCATACTTGGTAACAAGGTCTTGGGAAAGTTTGATTAGTTGCTGCTCTGAATCAGGGAATATTACCCGATAAGCACGGACAGCTTCCACAAATTCACGAGTAGAAGCCTTATACAGAAAATAGTAGATAAGCAATGGTTATTGTGCACAAACTAACTACAGGCATTTAAGAAAGTAAAACAAAAAAATAACACAGGCACTTGCTATAAGAACCACATAAACAAGAAAGAGTACATGCTTTAGGGAAATGAAAATTTGGCAGAATCATAGTACCAGCTGGCTCCTATTTCTGAAATTTAGATTTTTTTTTAATGTGCAATACAAGCAGAGTCAGAAATTGAAACAGAGTTCATCTCATTCGAATCGCATTAACGGCTAGGAATGGTTTGATATTGTACGATGGTACAATCAAATTTAAATTCAATCCAATAGTGTTCTAATATGATTAGGAGCTTCTAAGTTGGCAGAAGCAACTACATGGTTATGACACTCCCATACAGTGTCCTCTACAACGTTATGACACCACCATCCAGTGTTTTCACCAATGGTCTGACACGACCATACAGTGTCTCCTATCCTCTTTTCTTTTATGTATTCGTCTATTTTCTTGTTTTGTTACTCTCTCCAAACTCAAGTTGGTTAGTTCCTATCCCCTTTGAGTTTGCGGGGGGCTGTTAAAACCTATCACCTACTTCACCCACTTAAACCTACTCTACTAAACCTAACCCACTACACCACTACCACCTCCACTTCACCTACTCCTTACCTACTACACACTCACCCTCTTCTATATATAGGAATCATGAATCATTGTAATAGATATCAATATAACATTATATCAATCAATAATATAATTCTCTCTATTTCTCTATACATCAAATTTAACATGTTATTACTTTGGCATGATTTGCTTTGTGCCGTCCCTTGTTTTTACTGATTATCTTGGAAAGGTGGTCCGTCTGGTTTGTTTTTCCCGATCCTTTGCAAGGGCTTGTGTCATGTTGGCACCACCACGGTTATGGTTATGGATGGGATGGTAGCTTAGGCTTTGCCTTGCTGCTTGCATCTTTTGTTTTGTCTCCTTACCTATTATTCAGGTGGTGTGTTTCATGATGAACCTGTCGTGCTTTGAGCTTGTTAGATTTGTCCCGTCTGAAGCTACTAAGGCCACCGCTAGCAACCAGTGTGTCTATGCCTCTCGAGCAGCCAGCAGTCGGGGGGTGGACATTCAAGTGGAAGTTTTGGCATGTAGAGGCTTTGGTAAAGTTTCCCGCTCGTTTTAGCATGTGTAAGTCTTCATGGTGAGAGGGGAGCTGTAATGGTCTGGGGTATGACGTCTGGTATGCTACTGAACTCACGTGGCAGAAAATGGGGTTGATGATGTTAGCTAAAAAAAGGGGGAGCCAGAATAGCCTTGGGGCAACTCACTTCTACATTTTTGTTTAGGTTCTCAAGATTCTCAATTGCTCTTTTTAGTGGGTAGCAATAGTGTGTAAATGGCAGTTCTCATGATGGCAGCTGCCACAACAGTAAGGTTGGAAGTGAGTGGCACTGCACGCACATTTTTTTTTTTTTGATAAATAAAATTTTATAAAGAAATCAAAGCATCAATGAGATACAAAAGATTACACAGTGACACCCACATGATAGGAGCAGCACGTGCAAAAGCAAACAAAACATAACCAAAAACCACTCAACCAATCACATCATCTAAAAAATTTAAAAAAGTAAACAAATCTGGGTCCACCCGCCCAGACACCCTCCCACACAAAACATGTAGAAACCAAGTTTCCAACCACGATACCGAAGGAGCAACCTCCTGAAAAATACGCCGATTCTGTTCCAGCCAAATAAGCCACATCAAACACAATGGAGCCAACACCCAAGCCTTCCGACGCCTCTTCCCCATTCGACCCCCTGCCCAACTCCACAAGACGCCCAATACCCTTTCGGTTGCACCCATTGCACCCCAAAAGTAGAAAAAATAAGATCCCACAAACGAGAAGCCACTAGCCATAGGACATTTTTTGCACATGGCCATAGGAATGTTTGGTGTGTTGACTGACCTGAACACCCTACCTACCTCTTTGTACAGAGATTGATAGGCATACATGTGTATAAGGATTCAAATAAAGCTGCACTTGGTTTTTTGTGGGCATGGGTTTCAGATTCCTCATTTGGATGACCAGCTAGTTTTGCTGCTGGAACAAAGTGACTTTACAGCTAAACATTAGTTTAGTTTGGTTCAGATGGTGCTGTGAGCAGGCACGTAATGTTTGTATTCCAGCTGCATGTTATAGTAATTGACAACATCGGCGTAATGTTTGTATTGCAGCCGGACGCTGTAGTGGTGGATAGCATTGTATATTTGTTGCTGGCACAGTTCATAATGCTTTATTCTATTCTCTTTATTTCCTCACCTAGCCTAGCCCCTTGGGCTGTGAGAAGATATTATTCAGGCTAGGTTTCTTTTCAGGATTCGCCTCCTCTCCAGCAGTCCTCCAGTCCAGCACTGTCCAGCAGTTTCAACAGGATTGCAACACGTTGCAGAGAAGCGATCCAAAGGGTTCGAAGCTGCCACGTTGTGGAGGAAGAAATGAATTTAGTAAACGTCATCGTTTGAGAAATACCACGTCGTTTAGTCATAACATATAGTAGTAATGGTGTGTTTTGCATCTATTGCTTCTCTCACACACTCTCAGACAAATCTCTCAAATCTACCCAAAAGAAAGTAAAGTTACCTCTCTCTCTCTCTCTCTCTCCTGGTTTTTTTTTTGGGGTTAAGCTCTCTTCTTGTTCTTACTTAAGGTAGAGATGAAAGAGGTCCTTGGAAAAAAAGCTTTATAGTGAAGTGGATATTGGGAGTAGAAGATTTTTGACAAATGTTAGGAATGGGGTAAATCCA